TCTGTGTGTCTCTGTGTGTCTCTCTCTCTGTGTGTCTCTGTGTGTCTCTGTGTGTCTCTGTGTGTCTCTGTGTGTCTCTGTGTGGCTCTGTGTGTCTCTGTGTGTCTCTGTGTCTCTCTGTGTCTCTCTGTGTCTCTCTGTGTCTCTCTGTGTCTCTCTGTGTCTCTCTGTGTCTCTCTGTGTCTCTCTGTGTCTCTCTGTGTCTCTCTGTGTCTCTCTGTGTCTCTCTGTGTCTCTCAGTGTCTCTCTGTGTCTCTCTGTGTCTCTCAGTGTCTCTCTGTGTCTCTCTGTGTCTCTCTGTGTCTCTCTGTGTCTCTCTGTGTCTCTCTGTGTCTCTCTGTGTCACTCTGTGTCTCTCTGTGTCTCTCTGTGTCTCTCTGTGTCTCTCTGTGTCTCTCTGTGTCTCTCTGTGTCTCTCTGTGTCTCTCTGTGTCTCTCTGTGTCTCTCTGTGTCTCTCTGTGTCTCTCTGTGTCTCTCTGAGTCTCTCTGTGTCTCTCTGAGTCTCTCTGTGTCTCTCTGTGTCTCTCTGTGTCTCTCTGTGTCTCTCTGTGTCTCTCTGTGTCTCTCTGTGTGTCTCTGTGTGTCTCTGTGTGTCTCTGTGTGTCTCTGTGTGTCTCTGTGTGTCTCTGTGTGTCTCTGTGTGTCTCTGTGTGTCTCAGTGTGTCTCTGTGTGTCTCTGTGTGTCTCTGTGTGTCTCTGTGTGTCTCTGTGTGTCTCTGTGTGTCTCTGTGTGTCTCTGTGTGTCTCTGTGTGTCTCTGTGTGTCTCTGTGTGTCTCTGTGTGTCTCTGTGTGTCTCTTTGTGTCTCTGTGTGTCACTGTGTGTCTCTGTGTGTCTCTGTGTGTCTCTGTGTGTCTCTGTGTGTCTCTGTGTGTCTCTGTGTGTCTCTGTGTGTCTCTGTGTGTCTCTGTGTGTCTCTGTGTGTCTCTGTGTGTCTCTGTGTGTCTCTGTGGGTCTCTGTGTGTCTCTGTGGGTCTCTGTGTGTCTCTGTGTGTCTCTGTGTGTCTCTGTGTGTCTCTGTGTGTCTCTGTGTGTCTCTGTTTGTCTCTGTGTGTCTCTGTGTGTCTCTGTGTGTCTCTGTGTGTCTCTGTGTGTCTCTGTGTGTCTCTGTGTGTCTCTGTGTGTCTCTGTCTGTCTCTCTCTGTCTCTGTGTCTGTCTGTGTCTGTCTGTGTCTCTGTGTCTGTCTGTGTGTCTGTGTGTCTGTCTGTCTGTGTCTGTCTGTCTCTGTGTGTGTGTGTGTGTGTGTGTGTGTCTGTGTGTGTGTGTGTGTCTGTGTGTGTCTGTGTGACTGTGTGTCTGTGTGTCTGTGTGTCTGTGTGTCTGTGTGTCTGTGTGTCTGTGTGTCTGTGTGTCTGTGTGTCTGTGTGTCTGTGTGTCTGTGTGTCTGTGTGTCTGTGTGTCTGTGTGTCTGTGTGTCTGTGTGTCAGTGTGTCAGTGTGTCTGTGTGTCTGTGTGTCTGTGTGTCTGTGTGTCTGTGTGTCTGTGTGTCTGTGTGTCTGTGTGTCTGTGTGTCTGTGTGTCTGTGTGTCGTGTGTCTGTGTGTCTGTGTGTCTGTGTGTCTGTGTGTCTGTGTGTCTGTGTGTCTGTGTGTCTGTGTGTCTGTGTGTCTGTGTGTCTGTGTGTCTGTGTGTCTGTGTGTCTGTGTGTCTGTGTGTCTGTGTGTCTGTGTGTCTGTGTGTCTGTTGGTCTGTGTGTCTGTGTGTCTGTGTGTCTGTGTGTCTGTGTGTCTGTGTGTCTGTGTGTCTGTGTGTCTGTGTGTCTGTGTGTCTGTGTGTCTGTGTGTCTGTGTGTCTGTGTGTCTGTGTGTCTGTGTGTCTGTGTGTCTGTGTGTCTGTGAGTCTGTGTGTCTGTGTGTCTGTGAGTCTGTGTGTCTGTGTGTCTGTGTGTCTGTGTGTCTGTGTGTCTGTGTGTCTGTGTGTCTGTGTGTCTGTGTGTCTGTGTGTCTGTGTGTCTGTGTGTCTGTGTGTCTGTGTGTCTGTGTGTCTGTGTGTCTGTGTGTCTGTGTGTCTGTGTGTCTTTGTGTCAGTGTGTCTGTGTGTCTGTGTGTCTGTGTGTCTGTGTGTCTGTGTGTCTGTGTGTCTGTGTGTCTGTGTGTCTGTGTGTCTGTGTGTCTGTGTGTCTGTGTGTCTGTGTGTCTGTGTGTCTGTGTGTCTGTGTGTCTGTTAGTCTGTGTGTCTGTGTGTCTGTGTGTCTGTGTGTCTGTGTGTCTGTGTGTCTGTGTGTCTGTGTGTCTGTGTGTCTGTGTGTCTGTGTGTCTGTGTGTCTGTGTGTCTGTGTGTCTGTGTGTCTGTGTGTCGGTGTGTCTGTGTGTCGGTGTGTCTGTGTGTCTGTGTGTCTGTGTGTCTGTGTGTCTGTGTGTCTGTGTGTCTGTGTTTCTGTGTGTCTGTGTGTCTGTGTGTCTGTGTGTCTGTGTGTCTGTGTGTCTGTGTGTCTGTGTGTCTGTGTGTCTGTGTGTCTGTGTGTCTGTGTGTCTGTGTGTCTGTGTGTCTGTGTGTCTGTGTG